TGTTAAGTGTTCTTGTCTCACTAAACATGAACATTTACAAAAGAGCTTCTCCAGAAAGTTATGCGAGATGTTTATGTTGGGATGTTTTGTTTCTTGCCAGCCAGATCAAAGGTTCACGGTATTAATCATGCTGCCACTTAATGGCGCACTCGGGGTTTTTTTTCTTTAAAACATAGGCCATATTTTGACAATGATACTTCTTTGTTTCTGGGGGGGGGGGTGAGGTAAACAATCTTTTGAGTATCTTTTTTTGATCGTGGGAAGGAACAGATGTAAAATAAAATTGGGGTCGATCTGTTCCAGTGGTGAGCGCAGAAGGGCAGCCTTATTTTTTTTCCCCCCTTGTGAATCTTTTTTCTGTCCTTCTTTCACTCTGTACCCTGGGCCCTGAAAACAGAGAGAATAATCAATATTAGAGATGAGGAGGTCCCAGATCCAAAGGTTGAGGCTCTAGAAAGAGTGCAGAGAAGAGAAACAAAGATTATTAGGGGGCTGGAGGCTAAAACATACAAAGAACAGTTGCAGGAATTGGGTATGTCTAGTTTAATGAAGAAAAGGACGAGGGGGCACGTGATAGCAGTCTTCCAATATCTGAGGGGCTGCCATAAAGAGGAGGGGGTCACGTTATTCTCCAAATCACCAGAGGGCAGGACGAGAAACAGTGGTTGGAAATTGACCAAAGAGAGAAGCAACCTGGAATTAAGGAGAAACTTCCTAACAGTGAGACAATTAACCAGTGGAACAGCTGGCCACCAGAAATCATGGGTGCCTCCACCACTGGAGGTTTTTAAAAAGAGGCTAGACAGTACTTGTCTAAGATGGTATATAGGTTCTCCTGCTTGAGCATGGGGGCTGGACTAGAAGACCTCCATGGTCCCTTCCAGTTCTATTCTAAAATTAATTTTAAAAATTGTAAAAAAAAAATACAAATTTGATATTCTGTCTTCCTCTGGTACTAAGGTTTTAATCTGGGGAGAATTGTTGATAACTGCCAAAAACACAGCTGAGATTTCCCACAAAAGCCACTTCCCTTCCCCCCCCAGCAGCAAATTAAATTGAAGGGGAAGTTCAATTTTAGAACACTTTTGTAGGGTAGTGTGTAATTTTTCAATGTGTAAGCCTACTTCCTTTTTTAAAGAACAACTTGAAACTGAATCTCTCTTGAGATGTTCAAGATTGGAAAAAAACATCTTTTAGAACGACTATCAGTTCCGTTTTTCTTAGCCTTTTCCCCTCTTTAGAGAACTCCCCTCTCCAGATGCTGCAGATTATTTTCTTCCAACTGTATTTTGACCCACATTACAAAAAATAAAGAGTATAAACATCCAAAACTTACAACGAAGAAAATACTAGAGGCAATAAACAATTAAAGAACTAAACTGAAGCAAAAAAAAAATAGAAGAGAAGGAACCCCCCCAAATGTAGAAACCCATTTTTTTAAATGTCAGTGCTAAATATTTTATGTATCGTGTGTGTGTACATACACATTTATGCACTAACAATATAGAAATAAATGTGTGTGTGTGTACATACCCATCTATGCACTAACCATATAGAAATAAATGTATTCTGTGTGTGTACACACACATCTATGCACTAACCATATAGAAATAAATGTGTGTGTGTACATACCCATCTGTGCACTGACCAGATAGAAATAAATGTAGTGTGTGTGTGTGTGTGTACACACACCCATCTATGCACTAACCATATAGAAATAAATGTGTGTGTGTACACACACATATTTATGCACTAACCATATAGAAATAAATGTGTGTGTGTACACACACCCATCTATGTACTAACCATATAGAAATAAATGACACATTTCTATATGGTCAGTGCATAGATATGTGTGTACACACACATACAATACATTTATTTCTATATGGTACACACATGTGTACACACACATATCTATGCACTGACCAGATAGAAATAACTGTATTGTGTGTGTGTGTACACACATATCTATGTACTGACCAAATGGGAACCATTGCTTTACAAAAAAAGAAGACTTTATCTAATAATTCTATTTTGTTACTGTAAAATATCACAAAATCTACACAGGTGGCCCTTAACTTAATCATTCATTTAGCGACCGTTCACAGTTAAGAACAGCACTGCCAAAAAAAGGGACTTATGACCCTTTTTCACACTTACGACCTTTGCAACCTCCCCGGGGTCACGTGATCAAAATTTGTTGACAGCGCTGTCAAAATGATCGCTATGGGGTTGTGCCCCTTCCCCAGAACTGCCTAGGACGGGGGTGGGGAACCTTGGCCCTTTGATGACTCGTGGACTTCAACTCCCAGAATTCCTGAGCCAGCATGGGGGAACTACGGCCCCCTCATGACTCGTGGACTTCAACTCCCAGAATTCCTGAGCCAGCATGGGGGAACTATGGCCCCCTCATGGCTCTTAGATGTCAACTCCCAGAATTCCTGAGCCAGCATAGGAGAACTATGGCCCCCTCATGACTGGTGGACTTCAACTCCCAGAATTCCTGAGCCAGCATGGGGGAACTATGGCCCCCTCATGGCTCTTAGATGTCAACTCCCAGAATTCCTGAGCCAGCATAGGAGAACTATGGCCCCCTCATGACTTGTGGACTTCAACTCCCAGAATTCATGAGCCAGCATGGGGGAACTATGGCCCCCTCATGACTGGTGGACTTCAACTCCCAGAATTCCTGAGCCAGCATGGGGGAGCTATGGCCCCCTCATGACTCGT